CACACACACACACACAGGACCACAAATAATTAGACCAAACCCAAACGAAACCCAACACCTGCTGTTTTGTGTTTTCCTCTTGTCACTTAATTCCTGTCAGTGAGGTTCGTGTAAAAGTCTCTTGGTTGTCCATTCTTTACAGCGGTGGATTAGAAATTTAATGCTAGCACAATAGATATCCTGAGCCTATTCTCTCTCTAACTTCTTTGTTGCTTTTAGGTGTTTTTGGCTACCCTCTCAAACCTGCAGATGAGGAACTGCCTGACTGATATCGACTCCTGGGGGCTATTTGCAAACCTCAATGAGCTTTGCCTGGTGAGACATGATGCAAATAAGTAGCACGAGGCTTTAGGTGTATTATGTAAATGATTACAAACAGAAGCCTTTCATAGCATTATAATATCACTGCTTTTTGTGTAGCATTAAATGTAAAAGACTCTGTCTGACTCCCTCAGTAAGTGCACTAAAAATCCCTTTTCGACAGTGCATTGGTCAAGAGTGACAGACAAACAACACAAGATACAGTTTGCTAGAAAACTGTCTCCCCCTCTGGCAGTGGGAGGAGGAAGTCACACAAAAAACACACAGAATATAAAGTCCACCACAGGCGTATTTTACAGTTCAGTTGGCTCAATACAAACTCCACAGTTCAGCTAAAACAATGAATGAATGAGTCCTCATCTCCACAAACTCTCCTTTGGGACCCAAGGAAGTAAACAAAAATACCTCTTGGATCTAATAGACAACTTTCAGTAGTCCAGCAGGTGTGCTGCTGCTAGCTTCAGGGAAGGTCCAATCAAATTAATCACATTTCTGATAGAATTATACATAGTATTTAATCCTAGGCACAACCTACATGTATGCTAACTTAAATGAATTTTGCCACAGCCTTGTCACAGTTTCACTTCAGCTACTGGTGAAAACAAAGTGACCTGTGACACTGGAGGATTACATCATTCATAGTCATACTTACTTACTTACTTATTATATATGGAAGAAATGAAAGAGGTAAAAGCATCTTAAAGTGCTGAAATATTGCAACAAATAACTTGTTTTACTTGATAGAATTACACATCAAGTGTTCAGCGCCCAAGCTCTCTTTTTTTTGTTTTTCTATTTTCAACTGTGTGTTGCATGGGCGTGCAGTGACACCTGACACTGCGTGTTTTCTGCTGCAGGTGAGCTTTGGTTTCCTGACCAGTCTCCTCCGCGTCATCAAAGACACGTTGGAGATCACTGAGGATGACGGGCCCACCCTGCTGGAGCTGCTGAGCAAGGCAAATGTGATTCACATATGGACACACATTGATGCAAACACATAACTCTGACTGCAGTCTTTTAGTTGTAAAACTCCACTGATAAGATGTTTGACACAAAGGGAACATTTCACACTTATGTCTTCATTTTCTAACCATGGCCTTTCATACTAATACAGAACTTACGTTAATCCTCTTCATCGTAGTGTTAAATTATGCATCACAAGAAGCAGCAGGGAGGAAATAATTCACCTCAAGCTAGCCAGAGGGTATATTTGTCACACAGGTCAGGTTTTTGTACCCAGATTGGCATCTTCTCACCCTTCTTTATAGTCTGTTTACCTACAGCTTAATTGCTGATGTGACCCAGCAGTGTGGATCCTGATGTTTGTGTAACACTCCTATCTGTTGGCAGGCCTTCCAGGAGAGCATATGCCACTGCCTGCAGAAGTACTGCCTCAACTACTCCACGGCTCTGCTTTATCTGGACAGCCTGAAGCCCAGAGAGGACTTTGGATCTTACGCGAAGGTACAGGAGGGAACTCACTGAGAGCAGCTAAACTCTGTGTACGAGTTAGACCGGTGGCAAGGACGCCACGTACTTTGACAACGTGGTATACGAGGACACACAGCAACATTGCTTCCTAAACACCAAACAAGCAGCTCAGTGTCACAGAGGCCTGCCAAAAAGAGGAATGTGACCATTTGTCCCTTGTGTAACCTTCGCTGTCATCGTGCTTATGTATTTGTTAGTTGTGAGGCCTTTCATTGTGTTTTGGTGTTAGATCTCACTTCTCTTCACACGCTTTTCACTGACCCCCCCTTCCCCCCTTCACCCCTCTGTTCTGACAAACACTGACGAGCTCTCTCACCCCATGACCTCCTCCTTTTTCCTCCTCTCACCATGTCCATTCTCTTTCTTCCCCATTTTTTTTCTCCCCAGTGGTGTGAGAGGAACGAACAATGCCGGAGGCTGCAACTGCGCGACCTGTTGGTGGCGCCGTTGCAGAGGCTAACTCGATACCCGCTGTTGTTGCGGAACATCGCGAAGAGATGCCAGACGGAGGACGAGACCAGAGGCCTGCAGGTTATAGCGGAGCAAGTGGACACATCTATATGTGAGCAGATACACGCTGAATTACTTGCATGCATAAAACCGCGATGTTCTTTACCAGCTGAGCATTTGAGCCCTGCCTTATCAGCAGACTCACTGACTGAGTAAGCGTGCTGTTAGTGTGAAGGATTTAGTGGCACCCAGTGGGTTCGGATTGCAACCAACTAAACACTGCT